CACCCACCCCTTGTTCTCTTTCCAGGTGCATCTACATCTCCAAGTCCAGATGGCTGGATTGACATGTTAGCGGCACCGGCTGCTGGGAGAAAACAATCCAGTTTGGTTCCAAGCCCCCGGGTGGGAAAAGGATGCTGGAAATAAGAGAGAGGCTGGTTTGGAAATCTCTTTTTGTCGATGAGCAGAACTAATCACGGCATGAGGTTCTGGGACAGCTGACCAAATGGGGTTGGGATGGATGGATGGATGGATAGATAGATAGATAGATAGATAGATAGATAGATAGATAGATAGATAGATAGATAGATAGATAGATAGATAGGAAAGTAGATAGATAGATAGATAGATAGATAGATAGATAGATAGATAGATAGATAGATAGATAGATAGATAGATAGATAGATAGATAGGAAAGTAGATAGATAGATAGATAGATAGATAGATAGATAGATAGATAGATAGATAGATAAGTAGGTAGGTAGGTAGGTAGATAAGTAGGTAGGCAGGTAGGTAGGTAGATAAGTAGATAGATAGATAGATAGATAGATAGATGATAGATAGATAGATAGATAGATAGATAGATAAGTAGATAGAAAGATAGATAGATAGATAGATAGATAGATAGATAGATAGATAGACGGACAGACAGACAGACAGAGATAGATAGATAGATAAGTAGGTAGGTAGGTAGATAGATAGATAGATAGATAGACAGATAGAATTCCTTATTGGCCAAGTGTGATTGGAGCCACAAGGAATTTGTCTTGGTGCAAATGCTCTCAGTGTACAAAAAAGAAAAGAGACATTTGTCAAGAGTCAAGTTGTGAACTTTTATACATTCTTTGGGGTTTTGTGTTTGAAATGCTCCCAGGGGATTGTGCAGTGAGCTTTGTGTCTTTTGCTATTTTAATAGCAGTGGGATAACCCTATTATATCCTAAAGCTCATGTCCTCTTCTTAGAATTTGGGAGGGCAGGGGATGTACATACTATTATTATTATTATTATTATTATTATTATTGTTATTATTGTTGTTGTTGTTGTTGTTGTTGTCATCGTTGTTGTTGTTATTGTTGTTGTTGTTGCCATTTTCTTTGTTATATATACAATTTCCCTCCCTACAATGGCAGCGTACTATCCGGGTAGAACCTCTTTTAAATACAAGTAATACATCTTATACATACAGTAACTATAACTATTATTCTCAAAATCTATTCACCGTGATCTTCACTTCTCCTTATTAAACATTTCCCATTATTTAATTAAACACCCTATTCAGCTTTATCTATAATTGATTAATAATATTAAACGTTATAAACTTCATAGGAGCATCCCGTTTATCACCAATATCCTCTCATGGTTGATGGGATGTACATTCTTAATCCCATCAGCTGGACCCGTTTTGTTTGTGAATAGGCTGGCCTGGATTTCTTTTTCTTTTTCCTTTCCTTTTTCCCTTCCTTTCCTTTCCTTCCCCTTCCCTTCCCCTTCCCTTTCCTCTCTTCTCTCCTTTTCTTTTCTAACTTGGCAACTCCAAGATACTCCCAGAATCCCCCAGCCTGGATTTTTTAATGGGCACTAAATTATCCCTCTCTGAAGACTTCAGGCATCTGTCGGGAGAGGCGTGGGGCTGCTTTCTGCCTTGGTAAGTTTTTTCCCCCCTCTCTATTTCTCCTTTGGGGAAATATAACCTTCTGCCTCTTTTTTAATATTTCCCCCCCAATATTTCTTCCTCTGGAACGGGGTGGGGGGTGGGCTTCCTATATTCTGCTGGATCTCTGCCTCCCTGGAGTTGTTTTTGGGGGGAGGGGGGGGAGAGAGAGAGAGAGACCCACACTCTCAGGATGTTTCCACCAGCCACCCCATCCCCCCAAGCCCTGGGTCTCCTGCTTGGGTGGAGGTGGGGTGGGCTAAATGACCCCCAAGGCCCCCCTTCATCTGTAATCTTGTCTGGTTGGGAGGAAAGGATGCCCAGGCACGTGCACGTGCGGCTTGTGTGTGTGTGTGTGTCCGCCCAGGCGGGGAATTCAGCCCTCCCTCTCTCCCCCCCCCTTCCCAGCAGCACAGGAGGAGGGAGGGAGGGAGGGGCGTGGCCCAGGTAGGCCGATCCCGGTGACGCGCACTTCCATATATGGCCAGGCCGGGCGGGGCTTGCTAGCAGATTTAAGCTCCCTCTCGGCCGGCAGCGAGGCAGACGTTGACTGAAGAGCGGTCCCTGGACTCGCGTGTTGGAGGGGAATCGTGGGAATCGGGCATTGCGAGCCCCTGCAAGCCAACGAGGGTTTTTGTTTTTTTGGGCCGGCATGGTGATCGAGGTGGTGGTGCCGCTGGACAGCTCCGGCTTGGCCCGGTTGCTGCGGGACCCTCAGGAAAGTTGCCGGACCTTGGTGCTGGACTGCCGGCCATTCCTGGCTTACTGCCAGGCGCACCTGCTGGACGCCCGGCCGGTGCATTGGAACGGGCTGCTTCGGCGACGGTCGCGGGGCCGGAGCGGCGTCAGCTTGGAGTGGCTGGTACCGGACCGGGCGCTCCTGGCTCGGCTCCGCAAGGGCGAAGTGGCGCACCTGGTGGTGCTGGACGAAACCGGCGGGTCCGTCTCGGCTCTGCGGCCCGACAGCCTTGCCCGGCTGCTACTCAACGCGCTGCTGCGGGAGGAGAGGGCCGCCGCCTCGCACATTTACCTGCTGCAAGGTGAGAAGCCGGCCTGGGGTTCCTACACACACACACACACACACACACACACACAGACAGACAGACAGACAGACGGACACACACAACCCCTGAAGCTGCGGGGCAGAGGCAGGGCGAGGGGACGGGAGTCGGCACTGGCTGGCAAGTGAAGAAGCCGGCCTGGGGTTCCTATACACACATCACACACACACACACACACACACACACACACACACACACACACACACACACACAATGCCTAGGGCTGGGGGAAGAAGTAAGGAGCTATGTGGGATTCGCACCCGGACTGATAAGTTATGAAGCCGGCCTGGAGTTCACACAGTCTCTCTCTCTCTCTCTCTCTCTTTCTCATACACGCACACACACACACACACACACACACACACGGGACACACACACACACACACACACACACACCACCTAGGGCTGGGGGAAGAGGGATGGGGGTGTTTGCACACCTGCCTGGTAAGTTAGGAAGCCGGCCTGCATTTCCTACACACACACACACATATATACACATGCACACACACACACATACACATACACACACAAAACGCCTAGGGCTGGAGGAAGAAGTAAGGAGCTATGTGGGATTCGCATTTGGGCTGATAAGTTATGAAGCCGGCCTGGAGTTTACACAGGCGCTCTCTCTCTCTCTCTCTCTCTCTCTCACACACACACACACACACACACAGAGAGAGACACACACAGAGAGACACACACAGGTACACACACACACACACACACACCACCGAGGGCTGGGGGAAGAGGCCGGGCGAAGCTGCCTGAAGGGTGTTTCCACGCCTGGCTGGCAAGTTAAGAAGCTGTCCTGGATTTCCTACACACACACAAGCACACACGCACACACACACACACACACACACACACTGCCTATGGCAACCTCTTCATTTGGGGCTGATGTGCGACTGTTCGTTAACTGCCAATCGTAAATGTATTTTTGGATTGTGTGGTCAAAAAGATATTATAATGTCCAATTCTGGCCAAAGTGGAAGAGCCTCAAGGCCAGATTTTGATTCTGACTTCCGGGGAGATTCCGGCTGGATTTTCTGGTAGGAATTAAACTGGATGGGTGCCCCATTTAATTGCCCAAATCTATCGTTTGGCACACCTGCCATTCTTTCTTTCCATGATCGAGCAGAGGTGTCAGTGACACCCATTGTATCTCCTGGGGGTGGACCTGCCTGCAAGGTTTTGGACCTTGTTTCATCGCTTTGGTCCTCCCTCTGTGGTGATGTCCACACATTAGATCTTTAGGCCCAGTGCACAAATAAAAAACAAAAACAAAACAAACCACAGTCCATGTTGGCAATCTTGGGCTATCGAAACATGGTTTAACATCTCCATTTTTTGCAATGTGCAAATATTAGCTGTGGCCGCTCCTTGTCAACCACCGACGCACATAAAATTATACTTGGAACTAAAAATGTTCCTTGCCTGCTTTGAGTCTTTTCCACTGGCACATTTGGGTCATTAGAGACAGGTTGGGCTAGTGGTTAAGGCCCTGGGCTAGAACAGCAAGAGAACTCTGAGTTCAAGTCCTACCTTAGCCATGAGAGAGAGCTGGCTCCCCCCCCTCTCTCCGCCCAATCCACAACACACAGGTGTTGTGCAGGTGGAAGGTGTGCTGGATATGTTCCCTGGCTTGAGTTATTGGTAAAAATAAAGGCGGAAGACAAATAATAAATTAAAATTAAAACCAGTACGGTGGTCTAGAGAATAGAATAGAGTAGAATAGGAATGAATAGAATGGAATGGAATGG